TTCAACATCTTGCTTAATTGCTGCTGCTATATGGGTCGGATTTGCGATGGCTTTTCGGTTCTGGGGAAGATTTTGAGGGGCGGTTATAGGCCAGGCACTGTGACTTTCACTATTTTAATTCGGTGTTTGTGTATGAAAGACAAGATTGGTGAAGCAACTAGGTTGTTTAGAAACATGTCTATGTTTGGATGTTTTCCTAACGCAATTACTTATGGTACCATTATTGGTGCCCTTTGTAAGCATGGTAGGGTTGAGAATGCAAAACAACTTTTCTTGGAAATGAAAAATAGAGGAATTTCTCCAAATTTGAATGCTTATAACTCCATCCTTCATGGTTTATGTTGTTTGGAGAATTTGGAGGCAGCAAAAGGCTTATTCCTCAAGATGCTGGATGAAAGAGTGCAGGCTGATGTGGTAACCTTCAATGTTTTGATAGATGCGCTTAGCAAAAAAGGGAGGATGGCTGAAGCAAATGAATTAATAGACTTGATGATTAAGAGAGGTCATCATCCTGATAGAGTTACTTATAACATTAGAATCAATGCACTTTGTAAAGAAGGCAAGATGGAAGAAGCAAATAAATTGGTGGATTTGATGATTAAACATGGTCAGCATCCTAATACAGTAACTTATAACACATTGATTAATGCACATTGCAAGGAAGGAAGGATGAAAGAAGCAAAGGCACTGTTTGAGTTGATGACTCAGCGAGGTCAACATCCCAACACTGTAACTTATAACACATTCATTGATGCACTCTGCAAAGAAGGAAGGATGGAAGAAGCAAGTAAATTGGTAGATTTGATGATTCAACAAGGTCAGCATCCTGACACAGTAACTTATACCACATTGCTTGATGCGCTCTGCAAAAAAGGAAGGATTAATGGAGCAATTAAATTGGTAGATTTGATGATTCAGCAAGGTCGGTATCCCAACAGAGTAACGTATAACACTTTGATTGGCAGACTTTGCAAAGAGGGGAGGATAGAAGAAGTGAATGTATATTATGTATTTTTAGACTCAATGATTAAGAGAGGTCAACATCCTGACACAGTAACTTACACCACATTGATTGACGTGCTCTGCAAAGAAGGAAAGCTGGAAGAAGCAAATAAATTGGTAATTTTGATGATCGATCAAGGTCAGCATCCTAACACAGTAACTTATAGCACGTTAATTGATGCCCTTTGCAAAAAAGGAAGGATGAAAGATGCAAATAAATTGGTAGAATTGATGATTCAGCAAGGTCAACATCCTAACACAATTACTTATAACATCATGATCAATGGGTTGTGTAAAAATGGGCAACTAGAGAAGGCAAAAGACTTTTTAAGCGAAATGGAGGTGAAGGGTTGTGCTCCGAATGTGGTGACATTTAATACACTGATTTCTTGTTTTGCTGACAACAAGGACACCTCCAAAATTGTGGAACTGCTATGGAGAATGGCAGAGAAAAACTTATCACCTAATACAATCACCATTTCCTTCGTCTTAAGTTTACTGTTTAAATTGAATGATGAAATGCGTCAAGAATTTCTGAACTTGCTTCCAACATTTTCTACCCGAGAGCAACCGCGCAGATGACGAACTGAAACTTGGTTGGCTAAGTTGAGTTTTGGGTTGCATTAAATCATTCGTCAGATTCATGAAGATTGAGGATAGAGCAGTCAAGTAGGATATGCTATGTTTCCGTTTTCTCTTTGGTTGTTTGCAGCCTCCTCTGTAATACTAGTTGTTATGCATGAATAAAAGAAAATTTGTTTCACACTTTCACTTTGACTAAATAAAGAACCTTGGTATACCATTTGAAGATTTTTCCTTTTTCTTTTTTGCACTTGCTGTTAACTTGCTCAATCTTCTTCTTTTGAGTAGAGATGTGCATAATAATCACTCATCAGATAGAACAGTGAAGTGTTGGCAGAAAAGAAAATATAAACAGCAATAGTTAAAATTTAAAAGGAGGAGAAAACGAATGGCATTTTACAAGGATCATCCAGCATAACTTCTTGGTTTCTATGCCTGCTTTCCCAGACTTCTAGTTCTAGCTACTGATTTCTTGGTTTGTTTGGTCTTTATGTTAGACTTCTGTCCTTTTTTTTCTTTCTGTTCCTTCTTTGGTATGCTTTATATCTTGTTCCCATGGCTTGCATGTTTGGGGCATGTTATCTTTTGCAGATCTCTGGTCTATTTGGTTGATGCATAGTGATGTTATTTTCAGAGGTAAATCTTTTTGATGTGAAGAAACCTAAGTTGCTGATTAAAGTCTGTGTGGTTGGGTGGTGCGAGGTGAAATGGCCATTCAATTGGTTCTCTTTTTCAGATTTTTTCCACTCCCATTAATTCCATCTGTTTTGCCTCCTTTGCAGTTCTTGTTATGCCTATGGTGTTTGGGAAGAATATGTAACCAGGCACCTTTAAGTTCAGTGTTTTTTATTTCTTTTTTCTTTACCTTACATCACTCTTCTAATTCTAATTTCTTTGTCCAGCTAAACTAAGAATCTTTATCTGAGCAATGCATTTGCCACAGAGTTTTATACCTGGAAGTTTTGCGCTGAATCTCAAGATGACAACTACTGTACCAGTATGTTCTTGAAGACCTCCAACTGTAAAATTCAAATATGAAATTGGTCAGGACAATCCTGTAACTATAAATGTTTGTTGTTTTTAGTTATAATGGTAGTTTTTCATAATCTTATTTACATCTTTTCTGACTATGCTTTTTCTTTTTTGTTTAGATATTGCATCTGTATGCACAAGCAGCCTCTACTTCTGGTAAGATATTAGGTGAAACTGAGAATTGAACATAGTTTTCATTTACTAATATGTTAAACTTGTTAATATTGAGGCAAATACTATAACCACAAAAGAAACTCAGAAAAGAATATTATAAAATGATATGATGGTGAATTTACTGCGATGGAATTGTGCAGTTTTAACAATCCAGGCTAAACAATTGTGATAGGGTTGATCCTTTCCTTTGGAAGAAAATGTCAGCAGGGTCTGACTTGCATAAGCAAGTGCTTCTTGCACAAGCAAGTGCTTCTTGCACGATTGAGTTGCAACCAATGCATCATAAGTCATAACCAGGTTCATTCATTAGATTCAAATGCTTTTTTTCATCAGTTCTGTTGTTTTATTCTTGTTTACTTAGAGAAATAGACTGCTCTGATTTCTACTTCTTTTTATATGTATCTATATATATATATGGCTTGGCCGAAGATCTAATTTGTGCTTACCATCTTTGTATATTATTGTCTTTTCAGAATACATTCGATTGCTTATCACACCAAATATAATAGCTACTAAGTTGACATACTAAATGCATAGATATAGAATTGATTTTGTATGAGCAGTAAATAGCTTAAGTTAAATTAGTTTCTTGTGCTTGAAATAACTACACAGTATTCAGCATGAGAACGCATGATTCTGATCTGAGTTTGACTACATTCAAATAACATTTAATTACTCATATATACATATATATATATCCTCTTTTATTTATATATCATTCAATTTATCCATAAGCATTGCTTCATTGGTTGGTTTGCCATTAAGGACGATTAAAAAAAAAAAAAGAAGAAAAGAAAGAAAAAAAGTTCAAAGGGAAAGCTGTGAAATGGGATGAAATGTATTTGAAGCACAATTAGAAATTATTTGTGTACGTTTTATTTTGGATTTCTGAGTCTAATCCCATGCTAATTCATGCTTCTGGGAAATCTTAGCATGCCTCAAGATGCTGCTACCTATAACACATGCATAGTTTTGAAGGAAGTTAAGGCATTACAATATTTCTGCTTCATTAGAAGATGTTCTGACATTAATAGTTACAAAAATTTTGTCCGAGAGTTACTAATATAAGGGAATACTTGATAACCAAATGAATATATCTTCAACAGCAAAAAGACACCAAACAATCCAGTATATAATTGATTGTTGGTGTTGGATGGAGAACAATTTTTAGGTGGTGGATTTTTCGAGGAAGAGTATTGGATACAAATTGCCTCAAAAGCTCGAACACAAGCTAAGAATGGGAAACAACGGACACAAAAACAAAGAATTGGGAAGAGCAGAAACCGTGGGAAGAAAATTATAAAAATAATTAATTTCTACATATAGACTTCACCGTTGAAATCTTAAATAACGCTAACTAAAAAGTTAAATTTTCGTTAAATACAATTTTTTATTTAACTTAAATGACATATATTATGAGTTATTTATGTGTCATATTCTTATTGGATGGGGATATTTTCATAATATTTTAAAATTTCTCCAAAAATACTCTTAGAACATGGTTGTGTTAGTTTGTAAGAGTTTTTAATTTTTTTATTATTTATAGGTGATAAATTTAAATTTTTATTGAAAAAAAAATTAAAAATTAATTTTAAAGATAAAAAAAGGTAAAAAGTGAATAAAAATGAAATAAAAAAAGAGGTTATAAAAAATTTGAATTTGAAACTTTTTAACTTTTATTATTTAAATTTTTTTAAGACTAAAAAAAATAAAAAATATAAACTTTTAATAAAAAAATTTAAACTTATGAAATATAAATAATATCAAAAACTAAATACTTAGAAGAAGTAGAAGAAAAAATCTAAGTACTTGAAGCAGAAACAAACATATCCTTAAAATACTCTTAAAATAATACTAGCAATCACTTTCCTGATTAGGTACTGTATCCTTCCTTTCTGCATCCTAAAACCCTAAATTAAACCCTTTTCATTTCAGTTTAACAGATCTGCTTGTCTTCTATGGCCGTCAGCTGCAATCTTCAAA